GCACAATGCTGTCAACAGTGCCCGTCAGCAGGCGTCCGGTGATATTGGCCATCACGAAGTTCTGCACGCCTGTTGGAATGAGAAAATAAAAGTTTAGTGAAAAGGCCAGGGCAGCTGGACAGAGCGGTCTAAATGGAACTATCTATGGGACGTTTGTGATCCTAGCAGGCTTCTGGGTTCAAGTTACTTATTAAGTCAAAGAGCAGTAGAGCATTTATACTGATAAATTAAAATAGGTAGAGTTCGAATTCTATGCTCGCACCCCTAATCGATACGAATCACCGAGTCGATCCCAATGAAAATTCTCAGGTTCTCACTTCTCAGGTTGTCTACTGGACACCAACCAACTTCTCTCAGAGCCTACGCCGACGCGTTCTAGCAATGACCGAGGTAGTGGCTACACGGCTAGCGAATCCAGGGCTGTGCTATCAGACGGCACTAATACAGACGCTTTCTCTACCGTGGCCGACACTGGCGTTAGGCGGTGAACACCTTTTGCCCCTAACCTCTAGTGGCAAGTGTCCACTCCGCTCACTTGACGGTGATTTTTCTTCCGCCTAATCTACCCACTTATATTTTTCAGAGCTTACCATACTTCCTCCGACCTCGTCATGCGTTCTGGATGCGAGCGATGAGTACTAACAATAAGACATTTATAAATCTTGTCCAACTCTCCTTTTAGCATTATCAATGCAAGTGTATAGATCCGATGATGAATTTCATAAAACATATGTTTGCCAACTCGACTTTTCAAATGTAAACTAACCAGATCACCGATGAGTAGCGGATACTGACCGATTCGCATGTCTGGTCCACTTGGCCGCGGTAACCTATCAGCGTAGCGTTCGAAGGTGGGCGTTTCGAATTAGCCTCAGAGAAGCCCCTTGCTTTACAAGGCGCGATTTACGACTTAACTTGATCTATTGGTTAAGTACTCTTATTGCATCTCGTACCCTGACAGTCTGCTCCCGTACAAGGTAAATACCTGCGCATGACTCAGACTATCGTACGATTACCTACGATTAAGGATTCCCGACGGAATCCGAAACGTCAGGAAAATAAAACTTTTTTTCCAGTGGTCGCATCTTCTTCTTCTGAACTGCTTCCTGGGACTCACATATTCACTTCTAAAGGTAAATATAATGGAACCGTTAATCCGTTCCAGCACCAAGCTCGTCGTCTGAAACGCTCGTCTTACGAAACGTAGCCAATCAAATTGCATCAGTTCAATGATTGACTGCAGACGACCGAGGACCCGAGCTATGGGTGCAAGACTCAACGGTGGACACAGGCGCATACACACACTGACAACTCGTTAACTGAGCGGAAGCTCGCCAATCGAGCCAGCGTTTCTGCCAGTGGATCGCTCGTTACCTGAAATGCTCGTAGATGAAGCTGCTTGTC